TTGAATGACAATTTAAATAGATAATAACCATTCACTTGTTTCCATATAAATTATCATTCACGGTTCACTTTCACATTTTATAGATGTGTTAGCTAATGGTTGTTAACATGTAAGGTATGAATGTTGGTTGGTAGTTACATTCAACAACATAAGAGGAACACCAACATTGGAGGAATGCTAACTAAGTTCATCTCACCATTATATCCACAACAATGCATAGGAAGAACGTAGAGAATTTGAGTGGCCAGGAAGCAATAAAGTACTTAGACCACAAATTTATTCCTAGAAATTAGCAACAAATGTATTTTTTTAAAATAAAATATTTTTTTGGTTTATAAATGATTTGTTAATAATAATATCCATTAATTTCATGATAAATTTCAAAAAAGTCCCAATATTGTGGTTATTATGTAATTTTTTGAAAAGTCCTAAAATTTTGAACAAACTAACGAAAAAGTACTGTATACCAGCAAAATCTACGAAACCGACCGAAAATGGTTTTTTTTCTAAGTTTTAACTGTTATTTTGTGTTTTTCTGTAAATAAAATTTATTTTGGGACTTTTTCATAAATTGGACTAAATTTTTAGGACTTTTCTGGAGATTTCCCTAAGGAATAAGTAACAATCTCTAACACATATGGGTCTTGCAATCAAACTTGAAAAAATAAATTAAACACAAATAAACAATCCAAATAACAATTAATCCACAAAATGAAGGATTTATTCAATAATAAACACAAATAAAATGGTTTTAACACCGAAATCAGAAAGTAAATGTATATAGAATAACATTTAAATGCTAATGTTGGTCGGAAAAATGAACCATATGATTAGCGGCATGAATCTGCTCTTTAATCCTTCAAATCTTCGCTCATGTCAACTTAATGGCCTTCCGACCGCCTTCTAGACCCTCAAAATGGCTTCTTGGGGGTTTATAATCGAAGGAATTGATCTAGGGTGTATGATATATCATTTAGTCTAATTTTCGGTTCTATTTATAGGTTTTAGTTCAACTTGGTGTGTTTGGACACAAACACGACGTGTTCTTGATTAAAAATCCCCTATTCCCCAAGTCGGTGCCAAGAATTTCGAATATTCCATTCACCACGGCGTGTTTGTGATCACGACGGAGTGTTCGTTAGGAATCAACATTTTCTCAAAACAAGAAAGTCATCCGAAATTGTGTCTAGTTTTCCGAACCTTTAGAATCTTGTCACTTGGAGTTATGAGTCATGATATATGTCCAAAACACTGACGAAGGGTCAAGCTGTCCAACAACATCCTTCTTTGACTTCTTTTTGCTTTATCTCCTGTTTTCCTACTTCCAGCTTGTCATATGCTTCCTTTTTGTTCCGATCATGTATTCGTTACTGCAAAACATATTTCAAACACAATAAAGCACATTTTGTTCTAGAATTAACACAAATGTAGCATAAAATAATAATGATAATGTATAAAAGATATAACTAAATCAGCATACATCATGGATAAAAGCCAAATTTAAAATGTTTTAAATCTAGAAAATGGATATATATATATATATATATATATATATATATATATATATATATAATTTAAATATGATTATTTAAATTTGAATATTATTTATTATTTAAATAGTGAATTTAAATATTTAATATTATTTATAATAGAGATTTATGAATTTGAATATTAACCTCTCGTGTTTTATTAATTATTACATTGAGTCCTTGCAATTAATTGGAATTAATATCAGACAAATAAATTTAAAGAGTTTTACATTTACCCCTTATATATTGGAATTGTATATATTATTAGGGATGAGATTGAAAACTGAAAAACTGGACTGGAACCGGAACCGTTAGAACTGGTTCCGATCCCGTGTTTAAAAATTGACTTCATCCAGGTTCCGGGTAATTCGAGTTTGGGTCATCGGGTCCGGGTAAACCGGGTCTAAGAACCGGAATCGATGTTAGGAACCGAAACTACTTTTAGGGGCCGGAACCGGTTTTTGTGAAACATTTAAAACATGCATATCTCATTCGTTTTAACTTTGATTGACATACGGTTTATTTCCAAAGTGTAGTTTAGAATTTGTATATGATTTTAGATTATAAATTTATCATTTTTAGTTTTATATTCGTTTATTTATAGTCCCCCAAAGTCAAGATATCAAAGCTGTATGTTTTTACTTTTTCAACTTTTTTGTATTCTATGAATGTTTTAAAACATATATATCTAATTTGTTTGAAGTCGGATGGACATGCAGTTTTTTCCAACATGTATTTTAAAGTTTGTACATGATTTTAAACTATAATTTTGTCATTTTTGGTTTAATATTCAATTACTTATAGTTCCCCGAAGTTGGGGTATCAAAGCTGAAAATCTTCAACATTTAAACTATTTGTTTTTGTACTTTGTATTCTGTGAAAACGTTCACACATGTATATCTCATTCGTTTACCATCAAATTGACATGCAGTTTTTTCCGGAGTATAGTTTAGAGTTTTTGCAAGATTTTAGACTATAATTTTGTCAATATTGGTTTCATATTTAATGACTTAAAGTCCCCGAAGTCGGGATATCAATATGGAATTTTTTTCAAAGTTCAACACACTACGTAATAAGTAATTGCCAAAAAATTCTGGTTTTTTAGGTTTTCCTGTTCTAAACTCACTTTATCCGATTCCAACCTACCCATTTTGATATTTCTGGGTTTTCCGGTTCTAGATCCACTTTACCCGGTACCGTACCCGAAACCGAACTGGAATTGGTTCCTATATACCAGTTCGGTTTCCGGTTCTATAAAATTTCATTAACCGGTTCCAGGTCTATCCGGTCTGGGTTTTGACCCATTTTCATCCCTAAGTTCCGGTCCGATTTTAATCTCATTCCTAACAGTAGATACAATTCCAATATATAAGGGATAAATTTAAAACTCTATAAATTTATTTGACTAATATTAATTTTAATTAATTACGAGGACACCATGTAATAATTAATAAAACATTAGTGGTTAATATTCAAATTCATAAATCTCTATTATAAATAATATTAACTATTTAAATTCACTATTTGAATAATAAATAAATATTCAAATTCAAATAATATATATCAATTATCTAGATTTAAAACATTTTAAATTTAGTACATATCCATATTTGATAAAACTTTAAATTTGAAAAATAAAAAAAATTAAGGAAATGTAAAGCTTTCTTGCTAAGAAATGGGGGCGTTTTTATACCTTCGAATTTCAAAATGGAATTCAATCAGATAAAATAGTTTGACAACTGTGAAAACCCTAAATGTTTTTTTTACCGTTTGAATTATTTTAATTAAAAGTAATTTGTGGAAATGATGTTCATTTAATGCGGGAATGGGCGCATTAAATGAAAGTAATTAAGGTTTCTTATAAATGTGAGATAATTATTTTTAGACAAACTGCACAAATGGTCCATGTGGTGTGCTCAAAATTGTCACTTTGCTCCAAAAAAGTTTGGGCTAGCACCACGAGTCCAAAGTTTTCATTTTCTTGCATATTTGGTCCAATGTGTTAACTTCTTTCTATTTCCCTCTGTTAAGTTATGTTTGACTAGTCAAATAAGGGGTATTTTGGTCATTCCCTAATTATGCCCCTTATTTATATTAATAAATGAGTCCTAAAGAATGAATCACAATCCCTCTTTGTCGTCGTTCTCCACTACGTCTTCTTCAACTCTGCGATCATCTTCGATTTCTTCAAGAAATCAAAATAAAAAAATGGTAATTTGTTTTTGTGGTAAAATGGCTATAGGTCACATAGCATGGACTTACAAAAATCCATGTAGACGCTTCTGGGGATGCCCTACTGAGGTATGCAAAGGGTTTTTTTTTTTTGTTTTTTGGGTTTCAACATAAATCTCCCATTACATGTTACGATCTTCTTTTGTTTCTTAAATTTTGCAGGGATCCAAATGTCGATTTATTGTCTAGTTTGAAGGTCCAATTTGTGCACGTTCAACAACTATTATACATGGGCTGCTGAGGTCAATCAACAAATTCAAGTCACACAACACAAGACTCAAGTGTTACCTGTTGTGCAGTTGGATGTTGTTCCTGTTTGTTCTGGTTTATAAGAAGTATATTGAAGTGTAATGATTTGGGTGGTTTCTAAGCAGTATATTGAAGTGTAATGGTTTGGGTAGTGTTTTAATGTTTTTGGTAGTATCTTGTTTAAGCAATGTAATCTTTTGGGCAATACTTTGTGGTAGTCTTTTGTGGTTAAAATGTAAGCAATGTAAGACATGTTTTTCAAGAATTTGTCAATGGTAATTATATTTGGTATGTACATTTTGACCAATTTATTTGGTTTGTGGTTTTGTTTAAAAGGGCATATTGGTCAATTTATTTTGTTTGTGGTTTACCCATTATCAATGACAATTGTATGTTTTGTTTAAAAGGGCATATTGGTCAAGTTCTACAACAAAAAATTATACATGAGAATAACATTAAGACATTAAACATAACATAAGCCATTACATCAAATCCAGTGTAAATTGTTTCCATACATCATAGGGGTACACTATCATATACCAAAAATAACCTCCAAATTGCTTAAACCCCAAAACACATAAAGTACTAAACATACAATACACATAAACATAACATTATCCTAAAAAGACACTTATACCCTTACATACATCAAAATCCGTTGAAATCCCATCACTTACCCCCTTGGCCTTTGCAAGTTCTAGTATTGTTCCCTTTAGTTTTACACTTGCTACAAGTTACTTTGATAAACTTCCTTGTAAGCTTTCCACTCCCACTAGCAATATGGATTTGACTCCCACTACAACTAGCAACATTGTCTCCCTTCTTCTCGCTTTTCTCCTCAACAAATTGCCTCCTCTTTTTCTTCGGCCTTCCGGGCTGATTATGGTGTAGAGGAGGGGTGATTTTAATTAGACATTCACTTATATGCCACATTGCTCGACCTTTAATAGGCTCTACCTTGTACACATAAACTGCTTTCCATGTTTCTAGCTAGTGCACCCTGTGGGCATAAGTGTGCAGCTCTCCAAGTTCCTCACCATTATCTACTTTGTCATTTAGGACTGCAATGACATGCTTGCAAGGGAGTCCTATTAATTCCCACTTCCTACAACTGCATACTCTTTCAATCATGTCAACAACATGTTGATCCTGCCATAGCCCTTGCACTTGGTATTTATCTGACCCATTCCACCTAGCTGTGTACTGAGATGCCCAATTGACATTCTTCTCCATGATATTTGTTGCAGATGGGGTTAGTAGACCAACAAACTTGTTTATAAGCAGTGCACCCTGTGGGCATAAGTGTGCAACTCTCCAAGTTCCTCACCATTATCTACTTTTTCATTTAGGACTTCAATGACATGCTTGCAAGGGAGTCCTATTAATTCCTACTTCCTACAACTGCATACTCTTTCAACCATGTCAACAACATGTTGATCCTGCCATGGCCCTTACACTTGGTATTTATCTGACCCATTCCACCTAGTTGTGTACTGAGATGCCCAATTGACATTCTTCTCCATGATATTTGTTGTAGATGGGGTTATTAGACCAACACACTTGTTTTGCACCTTTATGACATTGCATATTCTATTCATCATATACTCCCTAATGTACTCCAAGCAGGTTATCAGTGGCTTGTCCCTTCCCTCAATCAATTTGCTATTAAAAACTTCACAAAGATTATTTAGAAGCATATTTGAAACTGCTCTACCTGAAAAACACCATAATAATGTCAAGATGAAACATATAGTAACACAAAAGGGTAAATTTGGAAGCTGAAGTATCCACCTTTGAAGTGGCTTCTTACCTAGTGTTGTGGGGGAATCTGCTTCAACCAATTATAAGCTTCTATATCATATGAGCTGAATTCCTTCATCCTATGATTGAACTCTGGTATTGTTGTAGCTGTAGCACAATTCCACAAGTGTTATTTATACTCAATAGTTCTCCATGTTTTTCTCATATTGTCATGTATATTCCTGAGACAAAACCTATGCTCAACACATAGGAACAACTGAGAAATGGCATCCTGTAATCCCTGTAAAGGAATTAAAAAATAGTTAATATAGTACATCCAAATATGTCAAATATAAACACCAAATTACAAACCTTTTATCTGTCACTTATAAAGGTGAAGTTTAAGTTTGCATATATGTTCAGATCATCTTCAATACACTCAAGAAACCACTTCCAATTGTCAGTGTTCTCAGTCTCAATAATGGCATAAGCTAGCAGGTATATTCCATTGTTGGAGTCTACCCCAAAAATAGTTAAAATTTGTGCTAGGAAAGGGCCCTTCATAAATGCCCCATCAAAACATAGAAAATCCCTTAGACAAGCTCTAAACCCCTTATTTATTCCACCCAAACACACATGCATCCTTTTAAACCTTCTTGAGGTAGCACTTAGTTTGTGTTCTGAATTAAACTCTCACTTCAAAATGGTTTATAGATTAGTAGACTGCAACTCCAGGATGTAATCTCTAATAACATCATATTGCTTTTTTTAATCACCCTGCACAAGTTTTATTGCAGTAGATTTGGCCCTGAATACCTTGTGAATAGAGAATCCAACTTGATAATCCTTATGAAGTTGTTCTTGAAGAAATCTGACTGGGATTGTTGAATTGGATTCAATATGGTCCATTATCTGTTTAGAGATAAACTTTGCTGTTGCAGATCTAACTTTTCTTGTCTGGAGGCATCTATGTTCGTGGTTTTAAGTTTTTATGAACCAATTACTATTTCCATATGACGTAGAACCTTGTATCACCCAAGGACAAGGGGTAGGTTCACCCACATGACCATCATTAAAGGCTACAGTTCCTTTACAGGTTTCCCTTAATCTCATTTTGTCGTTTTTCACAACGAATATATTCCTTCTTGTTTCCAGTGCATGCAATTGTATATTTTCCTTTAACTCCTTCATATTTTTATATTTTTGTCCTATCCTAAAAGTTACCTTTTGTATCTCACCTTGAGAGCAACTCTTCTTTTCCTATCTATATCAGAACCGTCATCTAATGAATCCCATTGATCATTATCTATAACATCCAACTCTTCATTGACCTCATCAGTCTCATTATCTCTATGCTTTGATAATCCTTTTTCAAGAAATTTTGCTTCAAGATCTATACTCATGTAAAAATCCCTCATATCTACTTCTACATCAGGGATTATGTTGTCTTCATCCACCCATAAATAACTATCATCATTGTCCTCACACTCATCACTTTTTTCATGATTCTCTTCATCAATTTCTATGTTATCTTCATTTCCATCATCAACTGAAAAATATCTCATCTCTACATTCTCATCATTCACTTCATTTCTGTCATGATTCTCTTCTTTAGTTACTTCCTTATTAACTGCATTATCCCCGCCTTCATGAACCTCATAATCTACATTTTATTCATTAAACTGTAAAATCTATTGGTACAAACCAAGATCAAAGTCATTAGCTGCCTCATTAAATCCCTGGTTAATACGATTGCCTGCCTCATGAAATTCATTAAATTCCTGGTCAATATCTTTACATGCCTCATCAAATTCATTAAATCCCTGGTCAAATTCATTAGCTGCATCATCCTTATTCCCCCCAATCCTATCAACACCAACATCATCCGCCACCAATTTATTAATACATGATGACAATGGTTTGTCCTTGATAAATTCCCTTTTCTTAGTATATTTAGGGGATGTCGAAAAGGCTAAAGCAGCTTCATATGCTATCAAAGGTGGTATGCATGTTTGTGGCATGCCACTGGGTTGGTTATTAAGGGGGGGGGTGATGTTCATCAATATCCTCTAATTGCTCAATAATAACTTTTCTTACAAGTTTAGGAGCCATAAAGTAAGTAAGCAAGTTATGCTCCTTTACATATTGGGCAAGATTGAGGACATCATCATCATTTCCTAAGGCCCGTAGCCCAAAATGCATGTCTCCCTTTGGCACTCGAAAATAATAGTAGATAACTGGAGGAACTGAGTATCCTAACCTTTTCATAATCGCATCCATCTCGTGAATAGAAAAGTCTTCTATATCCACCATATCAACGTACATCATAGTACCCTCAATGTAGCTGACATTTGGAAACTTTGTGAACTCATCTCCATGATGTAGCTTGATGGTAAACAATGTAGGGTGTCCATCTTCAACACAAGAGCAAAAGACAAACTTCAGAAAGTATGATTTCTTGTAAGCAAATCAAGAAAATGATCAAAAAAAAAATTACATACCATAAACCACCCTTTGGTCGAATGACGTGCTTGATAACCTTAAGTGCCACATTGGTATATGCATTCACTATGAAAGTCTCCTGATCGAAACTATCAAACTTGATAGTCAGTTTAGGGTTCTTGATCCTCAGTCAATGTGGAGGGAAATTGTATCGAATCATGGTTTTTAAGAACTACAAATGTGAATTAGGCTCGATATTATCCGTATAACGATGCATACATACGAACTCTCATTTATTAATATAAAATAAGGGGCATAAATAGGGAATAACCAAAATACCCCTTATTTGACTATTCAAACATAACTTAACAGAGGGAAATAGACGGAAGTTAACCCATTGGACCAAATATGCAAGAAAATGAAAACTTTGGACTTGTGGTGCTAGCCTAAACTTTTTTGGACAAAAGTGGGAATTTTGAGCAAACTACAGGGACCATTTGTTTAGTTTTGTCTTATGTTTAACCATCAAAGATAATGGGATAATGGGACAAAAATTGGATGGAAGTAGATATGAGCTTGGACAAATCAAAAAAGGATTTGGTGAGAAAATCAATTTATTGAAAACACAAAATCTCCTTATTTTTATTTAAAGAAGACAATTTTTTGAAAAGTTACTTAGGGAAAAAATGTTTTCTAATGATTCAGAAAGAATATATTCCTTTGAAGAACTTTGATTGATTTGATTCATTAAATAGCACACCCTTGAAACTTTATTTATTGCCAACATAGAAAAACAACTTTGGTGTTCTTTGAAAGATGAACTGCGGTTATTGATTAAGACTATGGTATTGCTTTTCAACGTAGAGGAACTTGATCATAAGGCCAGACATAAAAACAATAAAATGACCTGGAGAGTACATAGATGATAAAGAATCCTCGGTGAACGAAGTTTACCAAGGAATAATTTACGAAATATTTGCTCGGTATTTAGACTTAAATGGATAAACTTTAAAACATAGACAAATAAATGTGCTTCAAGGATTTTGAGGTAACAGTAACATCTTGTGCTTAATATTTAGACTTGGTATGAGTATTGTTTGCAAATTTGGTCCCGCATGGCATATTTTTAAATTTTGGAGGCTGAATCCGTATGCTGGGCGTATGTGGCAAGGATGAAAACCCTAATTTTTAGGGTTTGGATCCTATTTTAATATCCTTATCTCCTTGGAGCCTCTTCATTCTTCAACCTCCACCTCCATATTCTACCATAGCAAACCCTAATCTATTTTGAGCATCCTTGAGCCGTTAGTGTGTGTTTTGGTGTTCATAGAGGAAGGAGAAGGAAAGGAGAACATATTGGAAGCTTGGAGCAACCTTAGTTCTGGAAGTTTTACACCCTCCTACATCTCCAGAAGGTATTGTCACACCCCTGAACCAGATGGCGGAAACGTCCGGGGGTTGTGCGTGACTTCATCTTGTAATATGATCACAATGTGTATAATTGAAACAAGAAAACACCGTCATTATACATATCAAAATACAACCAACATTGTTTACATCAAGTATAGTATCATAAGTTACATGCCAAAATATTCAATGTATGATGATAACAAAATTTAACAAATTCCACATGTTGTTGTACAACTTTCCGCTTAATGATTCCCTGGGAATACAAGTTATTTTGAAAAACGTCAACATATATAATGTTGGTGAGTTCATAAGCATGTTCGAATGAAAGTTTTGTATTGTTAGTAAAACACCAAAAAGTCCAATATTTTCTGAGAAATAGTTTGAACGTGATGTGTCAAAACCAAGTATTAATGCATGTGTGTTTTTTGTTTTTGGAATTTATATAAAGATGTAATCCGGTTAAAATTATATATTTTTTGTTGTAAGTCAAAGGCATTGTTTAACTACATATTTCCCCAGAAAATCCTATATTTTCTTTTTATAAAAGTGTTGTGGTCTCCAACCTAAGACCGAATATCAGTGTATGTATGTTTCTGTATCAACAAGATTTTATAGGTGTTCTATAAAATTAGGTTGGAGAGGATCTCTAAGTGAGTCGTTTTAACCATGCTTGATAATGATGAATTCACCTGTTGTGGCGTTTTCAGGTGCCAACTTGATTAAGGTAAGGTTCTTCGCCCTAGACCGGCCTAGTCTAACTGTAGCGAACAGCTCGGGTGTGGGGTGTCACCCCGTATCTTTACTATCTTATAAAAGAAATCTAACTATTTCTAAAAATAGATTGATTATAATAATAATATTTTTTTAAGACGTCCAAATAATGAAACTGATAGTACAAGTAATCATTAATAAAATAATATTAAATTTTAACCATATTTTGAATTCAGATATTTATCATCAAATCTCCTTATATTTCTCAACAATTTGATATGGTTCCCCCAAATCTCGGATTTATTCAAATTTTGTACCCTTTTAGATATCCTTAAATTTAGCATGTTGATTCAAATATCCCTCCAATCGCATATACCTCTTTGCTTCCTCCTCTGCTATAAAGCCCACCATCTAGGAACAAAAAATGACTTCATTTCTATGGCTGTAAACGAACTGAACGTTCGGCGAACCGTTCGTGAATTTTTCGGCGGGAAGTTCGTTTATGTTCGTTTATTTAATAAATGAACGAACATGAACAAAAATTATCGTTCATTTAGTTAAATGAACGAACATGAACAATGATCTCGTTTGTTCATTTATGTTCGTGAACGTTCGTTTATGATGTTCATTTATGATCGTTTATGTTCGTTCATTTAAGTTTATTTATATTCATCTATATTCAATTATTTTTTATTATATTGCTATATTATATGTTTGTTTATGTTCATATAAGTTCAATTGTGTTTTTTTATCTTTGTTCGTTTATGTTTGTTCGTTTATGTTCGTTTAGCATGTTCACGAACATAAATGAACGAACATGAACAAAGTAATTTGTTAAATGAACGAACATGAACAAGAAAATCTCGTTCGTTTATCCATTCGTGTTTGTTTGTTGTTTGGCAAACTTAAACGAACGAACATGAACAAGACCTTGTTCGTGTTCGTTTGGTTCGTTTACAGCCCTATTCATTTCCCAAATAACACCATAGTTTGATTATTTTGTCTTTGACACGTACTTTCTTTTGTAACATAACATTTTTGTAGAGGAAACATATCACCGAAAGAATTTACACGCCCCGCCGCTTTGCGCGGGTACACTGCTAGTAGATCCATACACAAACCCTCGCTCTCCATCCAGGAGACTTTGGTTATAACTACATGCTATAATCGTACACTCTCAAGGTGTTGACTGGCATGTCTCACTGGATCCTTAACTGTGTTTACATGAATATGGTATTATGTTATGCATAATATTTTTTCGAGTAGGTTTTATATTTGAAATGTCCAATGAGTATGTATGTGAATGTACAAGGTCCGACGGACCTGTAGGAGGACCAATAAGGCCCAATAAACATGGAATGCCTAGTATATGCCCAATAAACATGTATATGGGCCACAAAGGCCCAATAAGCATGTGTTGTACATTCCGGACCCAATAAGCATGTAAATGGATCCTTAAGACCCAATAAACATTTAAGGTAAGTATTACTCCCAATAAACATGTAAATGGACCCTTAAAGCCCAATAAACATGTAATCAATGTATTTCATCTATTTGTTATTACATTGTTTATTTTTGTTCGATTGTTTACCAAAAATAACACAAAGGACTAATTTTTGTTTTTTTGTAATAGTGATATTTTTTGCCCGATATTATGAAAATTGACATCTTCGGCCCAATTATATATATGCTAAAATTTGACACATCCTAAGTTCAGGAGTGCAAGTTTAGGGTTCAAAGTGTAAATGTGAAGGAGCAACTCAGCGAGTCCATGGGTGGCCTCGGCGAGTAGGGTCGCGATTCTGGTCGCGTGTTAAGTGGCCAACTCGGCGAGTCGGCGGCTGGACTCTTTAAAGGATATTATACCCTCTCCCCAGCCTCTTTACCCTCTCTTGAAGTCCAGAAAACCCTGATGCGCGTTGTGAGTGATTTGAGAGCATTTGAACCTTGGAGAAGAGATTTTGGGAGAGATCTTGGAGAGTTAAGAGGTTTTGAGCAAAGGGATTTGCTAGGATTAAGATTTCTCTTCTGTTGGAGCTTCCTTTTGAGGTATTATTTCGATGCTTGGGATGTTATTCATCTAGATTCATCATTTTGTAGTATTTGGAAAGAATAGCTTGTGATATTTCGAGTTTGGAGGTTAGATCTGGGGTTGCTACCTCAGATATGGAATGGAGAAGGTCTAGAGTGCATTAAATTCCCTGTTCTTGAGTGATTAGTGAAACCATCTTGTCCGAAACCCTAACCCTAGAGTGTTATATGCTTAGATCTCTTCGGATTCACGTAAAGTTTTCCACTTTACATGATGGATGGGTTGTAGAAGAGTAGATCTATGGTTTGGATCATCTGCATGGTCTGGAAAGTTTGGTATGGTTTAAGATCTAGGGGCACTCGGTGAGTCACAAGGGTGTACTCGGTGAGTTGCTTGAAGGTGGGCAGGAACTCGACGAGTTGGAAGAACAACTCGGTGAGTTGGTTGAAGATATCCTTAGACTCGACGAGTCTGTTCTTGGACTCGGCGAGTCTGTTCGTGAGGTCCTAACCTTCTTCTGGTTCAGCCGTAAATCGATGAGTCAAGAGAGGACTCGGTGAGTTAAGTGCGAGGGGACTTAGAGTTGTTGGACTCGGTGAGTCTCGGGGTGACTCGGCGAGTTGAGTTGCGGATTGCGGAAGTTCTGAGCTTGGGGACTCGATGAGTCATCGGGTTGACTCGACGAGTAGAGTCAGTCAGGAGGTTGACTTTTACTTTGACGTTGACCAAGGGTTGACCAGTTGACTTCCAAAGGCATTTTAGTAATTGTTGGCTTTTGTTTTGAGTTCAGTGTTGGTGTTGGCCAGTGGTGGGGATCGTGTCAGTGGTCGGAGCATCTTGGTCTTATCTTTTCAGTCGGCAGTTGCGAGGTGAGTTATCCTCACTATATCAACAGGGTCTAAGGCACCAAGGTCGGCCCTTTATCGGATTGTAATCTGGGTAACATTGTTATGTTATT